GATTACCGTGAATTCCTCTGTATACTGAATCTGCACGAGAGGCTTTGCCCGTCATCTTGGAACACTGGCTGAACTCCTTTCCACTCCGGGCGTGCATCCATTGGAATGTACGCTGATCCACTTGACATGTTCAAAAGAAAAACTCGGTTGAGTATAGCTTATGGAGTCGTCAAGTTCTGACTAAATTTTTGAATTCTTAAATTCTGAGTCTACAGTGGCTACCCTAAAACTCAGCGACAGAGATTGAAGACATTAGGAAACTCACACAGTTTCATGAAATCGTAACAGATGTATGCAACACGCCTCCGATCAAATGATCGGTGATGATCGAGAAACCATCAGAGCATCGAGCAGTGACTTTATATCTGACGAAAAATGGCATGTTTCTGCACGCATGCATGTTGACATACGAGTTAGAGAGACGGTACGAGTTTTGCATTGAATATTCTTTCTCATATTCGCTTCGTATATGATACGAACATGAACATTCGTATATGAACTTTCGTGCGAGGTGATAACAAAACGCCGAGATGCACGAGCAATATTTTAATCATCCTCACTGCAACTGAGGAAGCCTTCTCATCTTCGAGAACAGAATTATGGGTGAAATTCGTGATGCGTGAAAAAATACTGGAACCGGGAGTCGAACCCGGGACCTATCGCGTGTGAGGCGATCGTCATAACCAACTAGACCATTCCAGCTGTGATACTCCAATCATACCCACAGTGTTCACACAGTCCTTCCCCGAAGGGAGGCCAATAAAACTCTAGAACTTCAACATTCTCACAGTAAGTCTCACTACATGAGCGTTCCACCACCGCACCTACCAACTCCCTTACTCTAACAGCGTCTCTACCAGTGGCACCATTCTCTCTGCATTCGCATGCATCAATGATCGACCGGCTGATACCCTGTCGAAATGTCATAACAGTTATGACAAATACACCGACACAGCATACCACCGAAATCTCCGCCGAAGGGTCTTGACCACGATCGATCAGCTCCTCTGAATATCCAAAAGCTCACCGTGCAACCCACGCTAGCCCTCGTCACTCACCTCCCACTTCCGCCTCAAGGCACATCTCAATCTATCCACCCGCAAGGAATGCACAAATAGAATATAGCTCTATCGCGATCCTATCCTATCCTCTTAAGTTGCACATAACTGCTTCCACCCATCCCAGTGACGTCCCTACTGCTAAGACCTGTGCGAGGGTCGCTCATGCAGACTGCCAAGCTGTATATACAGTATTGCCAGCTCTACAGGAACATGACATGCTGCAGCGGGGTCGTCATATATCCCAACTTCTCGGAAGATACATGATCCCTGTACACTAGTCTGTACGATGCACTGAGTAAGCGTTATACCCTCCTCACAGTTCAACTCCTCGAATAAAAACCGATCGTCTTCTATCACGGGTTGCAACGACAGTTCACATTCCAGCTCAGACAGAGCAGTCGGCTGCCTGCCGCTTTTTCGCATAAAGTTGACGAGTTTCATACGAAGATACTCGCCAGCTAGGATAAATTGTTGATCATAATTTACGTTATGGACGGTCCTCATATGGGCCCAAACGTCCCTCACTGGCCCTCTAGTAGAATAGTCGCAGATGCAGCATACGGCAAGGCACTCCTGAGGGAAGAGCCACAGTATTGGAATCTATTTTTGGTTACTCAGTTACACCAACAAGAATGCCTCTGAAACGGACAGGCCATGACTGGACCTATTCCGTATCTTACAGTGTTAACCTAAAGATACTACCTGTTCATGATCACTGACCTCCAGCTCACTATCAGACCTGTGAGACGAGATCACTATCCGGCCCTGAAGTGTCACCACTGCTGCTAGAAGAGGAATAGACAGATGGCGGTGCATGGCAGAAGGGGGCCACAAAATATCCAGAGGTTCCTCAGTGAAAGATACGGATGAGGCCCGCGAAGTGACCACTGCCTCGAGAATCAGAACCGGTACCCGTCTTTCGATTAGCCGCTACTCCTCCACACGATAATACGATTCTACGAAGCGACTTTAACCATGTCCAAGCCTAATAGTAAACTTGCGCTGAAAATGTCGAAACGTTCCACAAATCTGAGCGGAGCGATGCGCGCCCTTTCAATTGGGGTGTTCAGTACCTAAGTTCTAAGAGCGCACCCAAGATCGACTCTTACATGCGATATCTAATCCTAAGAGGGCTTTCGAAGGTCTATGCAACACGCCGTATGATGCCAATGATTACCATCATCATCATCAAGTTGCGTTGCGTTCCTCATTACCACCATGCTGGACGTCAATACCCTATCCCAACTACCAACCATCTACACTGTCATCGTAGTGGTCCTCGCTGTCCTCCGCACCATAGTAAGCTACCCAACGACCACTTCCTCCTTCTCCTCCCCCTCCCTCAGACCGCTGGTGTACCCTCTTCTCTCACATCCCTCACTCTAACCCTATTCACCCAGCTACTACAATGTGGAGCCACCTTGGCAGCTCTCCTCGTCGTCGCTGGTGCTTCCTTCATGGCCACTATGTGGACTACTAGTAGACTCTCAGACAAGGACCGTAAGGAGCATTCTCCCCACCTTCGACGTTCCCACTGCTTTTTTCAGATTCCCCTGTGGATTGGGATCAATGGCTTTCCTTTAAGGACCCCTCCCTCCGCGGCAAATACGGCACCAGTAGAGTCCCCATGCAGGCCTTCTACGA